TAGTATAAATTGAAAATAATGGGATTTTGATGTTATTTTGTTTTTCATATGGAATTCACAATGGCCAACCGGCAATCATTTCATTTTAAATGGTGCTGCTCCATTAGCCACATCTCTGAATGTATTGACAGCAAATTATCCCACATGTTGACTTTCATTTTTTTCAAGTTCTGACTAGTTTCAAGTTTTTTTTTTCATGAATGACAGGGGTAGAATGTGTTATCATGATAATGCTTTACTATTTTTTTTATCATTCTAGTTGCAGATATTCCTGGGCTTATACGTGGAGCTCATTTGAACAGAGGACTTGGTCACTCTTTTCTCAGACACATAGAACGCTGCCAGTGTTTATTATATGTAATAGACTTATCTGCCAATGAACCTTGGACTCAACTTACTGACTTGAAGTTTGAACTTGAACAATACCAGAAGGGCCTATCAGAAAGACCACATGCAATATTAGGCAACAAGATTGATCTACCCGAATCTCATCAGAATTTAGAACATCTGGAAAATCATGTGATGCTCCCAATCATACCAATATCAGCTAAATGTCTAACAAATATCGAAAAACTTAAAGTGCATCTCAGAAAACTATATGATGAACATGTTGAGTGAGATGACAAATGGGGACGGCCATTCAATCAAATATTAGAGGGCGATGGTCGCTGCTATGCATCCTGTTCAATATGGGACACTGCGAGACAACCACCGCCCCCTTAAAGTCGCACTTTTGAGATCATGATTTTTCATTTTGCTGATTTTTGTCCCAAAACTGGCAGCATTGTTGTAGTGCAGTGAATTGTAGAGGCTGGAAATAGGCATAGTACAACTGGGAGCATTACAGGTACTAGCATTAAGTGGTACTGTGGTAGATCATAAGAGGTGGAACTGGGCACAATATAATAGAGATTTCAACTGGTGTCCCCAAATTTGGGTACTCAAGTACATAGTAATTCAGGTTTTAATAATCTTGTTTGCAAATGTGATGGTTTATTTTGTTTACCAATTATATGGCCATAGAAGTGAAAACAAACTGCTATGGTACTAGCAGAATACGAAACAATGTTCTGTCATAATAATAAACAGTTTATCAGATAAACACTTTTCGAACATGTATAGTGTATATGCAGCAATTAAACAATGGTACTGTATAATATAAACAAACGCATCTTGACTATCAAAAATACTTTAATACAAAATGCAAGTATCTTCACATGTACATACAGTTGTCTATTACTTGAACCTTTGTATGTTGCCATTTTTATCTGACTAGGTATTGCAAATGTTACAATGATTTGAGAATATAATTCATGTTCTTCAATAAATGTAGTTTTTTTTTACATGATATTCAGTGTAAATAGTTTCAAATTAGGATTTGTTATTTTATCATGACAAAATGAAATCTGAAAATAATTGTTGGTTTCCAGCAATACCTCTAAAAACAGAACTCAGTCTTATAATAGCTGTTAAACGTAGATAAATGTTTGATAAAAGAACAGTGACAGACGAGTGTGTTGGAGACAAATCATTTCACTGAACACTTAAACTACTGAATATACAGCAGGTTGAAAATTTACAGAAGTGGATATTATATTATATTATTAAAATTATGCCTGTATTAGAGATGTACTTCTAATACAGAAAGTACGTACATTGACAAAAGGACAATGTCATCACAGGGCAGTATGGTTCTTGAATACAAACTATACAATTTGTAACAAAATATGTGACATATTAGGAGGAAGCCATGCATGACACAGTCAGTTATCAATTTAAGGTTTTGTTTATAGTAATACAATTTGAACAAAAACATGACAGAGGAGATATGAATCCAGAAGCTGATGCTCGATTATGTTGATTTTTTAACATTAAAATGATTGACATTCAGTCATCTTAGCATGTCTAAGATATATGTCCGGACGAACGTGTAGAGGTCAATCCACAAGTCCCCGTTTTCAGACTGCATTGAGCGGGAACTAATTAAACTACAACCATAAGAACTAAAACACACTCAACATTCAAATGGTGACATAACAGGGCATATGAATATAACTACAGTATGGGCAGAGCATAACATAACATTCAGCTATCTCTAAGGTGATTTAAAGATAGTTTAGCCTACCACATATTTAAGTTATGCAAAGTAATTTGCATAAATATGTCTCATATTAGTGATATAGTTATATACTACTGTTAACAATAAATGAGTTGTAATTAGTGATGGCAATAATACTTTTTATGAAAAGGCAAATCCAACTGACAGCCAGCTTGGATGTCAAGTTACTTTTTGACTGTACTGTATATCCAGCACCAAAGGTATATGGTTTACAGTAAATGTATATTCTTATTATTACAGCAATATCGTCATACAAAACACTAACACTGCAACAAACTTATGTCCCCCGCCTCGTGGAATTTATTTATTTGTATGGAACATTTTCATTTATTTAAAATGAAATTTGACTTTCACTAAATATCTCATTTTAACTTGATTAGTATTGTAGACAATAAATTCATTGTAATTTAGTGTATATCCTTGTTTATTAGCGACACCAGTCTTCTTTCCTTTACCTATTGGGACCACAGTACCATCAGACCTGTCAAAAAAAAGACACAATTGTTACACTCGTACCAGCAAACAGGGTGTGAATTCAAAACACTTGATTTTAACATACATCTATCTTATGAAGAAGTTAACAAACAAGAAATCATTCCATGAAAGACTCCACAAAAAGTTTCCCAGACCAAATATTTAGACAAATTGAAAAAGATTTATGTGTAGTGTAGATTTGTAGAATATACCGGTAGACTAGATTTATACAGTATAGTCTAGCTTCATAGAGCATAGTCTAAAACTTAGAGAATAGTCTAAAACTTTATGTAGATTTATTGAGAATAGTCTAAAACTTTATGTAGATTTATAGAAAATAGTCTAAAACTTTATGTAGATTTATAGAGAATAGTCTAAAACTTTATGTAGATTTATAGAAAATAGTCTAAAACTTTATGTAGATTTATAGAAAATAGTCTAAAACTTTATGTAGATTTATAGAGGTAGTCTAAAACTTTAGTAGATTTATAGAAAATAGTCTAAAACTTTATGTAGATTTATAGAAAATAGTCTAAAACTTTAGGTAGATTTATATAAAATAGTCTAAAACTTTATGTAGATTTATAGAAAATAGTCTAAAACTTTAGTAGATTTATTGAGAATAGTCAAAAACTTTAGTAGATTTATTGAGAATAGTCTAAAACTTTATGTAGATTTATAGAAAATAGTCTAAAACTTTATGTAGATTTATAGAAAATAGTCTAAAACTTTAGTAGATTTATTGAGAATAGTCTAAAACTTTATGTAGATTTATAGAAAATAGTCTAAAACTTTATGTAGATTTATAGAAAATAGTCTAAAACTTTATGTAGATTTATAGAGAATAGTCAAAAACTTTAGTAGATTTATAGAAAATAGTCTAAAACTTTAGTAGATTTATAGAAAATAGTCTAAAACTTTATGTAGATTTATAGAAAATAGTCTAAAACTTTAGTAGATTTATTGAGAATAGTCTAAAACTTTAGGTAGATTTATAGAGAATAGTCAAAAACTTTAGGTAGATTTATAGAAAATAGTCTAAAACTTTAGTAGATTTATTGAGAATAGTCTAAAAACTTTAGGTAGATTTATAGAGAATAGTCTAAAACTTTAGGTAGATTTATAGAGAATAGTCTAAAACTTTATGTAGATTTATAGAAAATAGTCTAAAACTTTATGTAGATTTATAGAGAATAGTCAAAAACTTTAGTAGATTTATAGAAAATAGTCTAAAACTTTAGTAGATTTATAGAAAATAGTCTAAAACTTTAGTAGATTTATAGAAAATAGTCTAAAACTTTATGTAGATTTATAGAAAATAGTCTAAAACTTTAGTAGATTTATTGAGAATAGTCTAAAACTTTAGGTAGATTTATAGAGAATAGTCAAAAACTTTAGGTAGATTTATAGAAAATAGTCTAAAACTTTAGTAGATTTATAGAGAATAGTCTAAAACTTTAGGTAGATTTATAGAGAATAGTCTAAATTGTTAGAGCATTGTCTAGATTATAGTGTAGATTTATGGAATATGGTTCAAATCTATAAAGTATAGTCTAGATGTATACTCTATATAAATCTAGAGTATGCTCCCATATGATGGGGCAGGTTTCTCCAATTGTATCATAGATGTACATTACCATGTATCAGGTATGACAAGGAAGCATAATGTATATTCTTACATTGTGTGTTTTTTAGTTGGATCTGGTGCCATCATTCCAAGCCCATGTACACTGTGAGTACCAGCTGGTAATTTAGCTGCATTGTAATCAGCACTTAGTAATTCATTTGGTTTTCCCAGTGATACCTGAAACAACAATTTTTACATATGAATCAATCTTGAAATGTTAAAATGTAAAGAAGAAACTGTGACTACAATGAAATTCATCCATATATGGCTGAAATCCAGTTCCGGAATGCATTTTTAAAATGACCGCCATTCTTAAATCTGATCGTCAAATGAATACATGTGTGACATGATATAATTGTATTTAGTTTGATCATGATTAATCAATGCATGTCATAGAACACCCTGGAATTGCATTTATTGTAACAAAATTGCCACCAGTCGGCCATTTTGAATTTGATTAGAAAAACAATGAGATACGGTACACAAGGTTTTTGTTCCAGAGTGGCAGAAATGCTTGACTTTGATGAATTTTAGGCATAATAATGGCAGTCTATGAATTAAATCATGAAACAAATGGACGTACATATGTCTTGAATGAGTTTGTATGAAGTTTGAATGTCATCTGTCAATCCATAAAGTCCGAATAGGAACCAAAAAAATCACAAAAAAGTCAAACAGATTATAACCTACCAAAATATGTATATCATCCATAAATTAAGTTGAACATTTAAGTGAATAAACTAGCTTCAACTTGATCTCTTAAATGTTCACAAAAAGCTACTACATTCTTAACTCTCCTTGTAAGCTTTAATAACATCTTAAAACACTTACTTCACACAGAAGGCAGAATCCTACATTGTTGGATTTTGTAGCAAAACAGTAATTGGCAGATTTTGATGACATATCAGCAAAGTAAATTCCTTTCCCAAACTGAAAAATACAAATATTAGATTTGTTTACTCATTTAAACTCATTTAAAACAAGCCATTGTTGTTATTTACAGATGTATATATACACATACACTTAATATCATTGAAAAGACTTTACACAGAATGAAACAGGCCCATATATTTTCATAATTTGCTGGGGCAGTACTCAAAGATAGATATGTTATGATTATTGCATAACAAAATCTTGTTTGAGTAGGAATAAACTTTAAACAGCATGTTATTTAAATTCAATACACCCAACACAATTTAAGTTACATGCCAAGGGAATTTTCAATACATTACAGTATTTTGAAAGTACAATTTGTCTGAAACCAATTTGTATCCATACATACCATATAACCAGTGACTGGTGCTTCTGGTGGAGCAATACGCAATCCTTTACTTAAAATACCAACATAATTAGTGAGACGAGATCCATGCCAAAGCAACATCCTACAAAGTAAATAAGAAATGATGAGCGGAAGCTGTGTTTATCATTGTCGCAATAGATAAATACATAGAGAAGATTTATTGATAGTGGAACATCATAAATAATCATTTATTTAACATAACCAATTACCATATCAAGGCTTAAAGGGGAAGAAAACACAGCCGTTTCATGGTATCCATATCAATAAACTGTATTCTGACAATCATTCTGTGATATTGCGTTAAAAATATACCAAGCCGTATTCCTGTAACAACGGTCCAAGTTTGCTCATTAACTTGGTTTACCATTGTAATGGCAGCCATAGTTGGCCGCAGAGCATGATGGGAGCCCGGAGTTGTGATGAAGAAAAGTCTTAATTGTAATGCTATGATAAGGGGTCTTGTAAGGTTATTGTATTCCCTAAGTTAGTAGTAATAAAACATCTATGTTTACAAATATGCCTGCTTGTAATGAATGACAGATGTAATATTTATGAATGCATAATCCGGCTTATGATTTTAATACATTGCCTGCTGAAAGCCTTCACAGATAACCAAAATGGATGGAATTACATTACATAGTCCACATCAGTTATCAAGTTAAATAAGTTTTATCTATTGTAACATAGTTTGGACATGGATGGTCAAGGCATGTCAGAGATATGGATTCAGAACTGCATTTATTAAAACATTATGGTTGTCAGTCGGCCATTTTGAATCTGATCGGGAAAAACAAAATGACGTTCATTAAGATTCCATAATGTACAAATCAAAATCAAAATGCTTGTTGGTTTCAAATGACCAATCCAGATATGGTATTGTAAAACTATACCAAGTTGTAATTGATATTCAGTAGTTAGTTCAACATCATAACATCCAATGTCCAAGTTTAATCCATCCATGCACAATGAAGATCCAGCTTCTGAATGGCAGAAATGTTTGATTTTGGTGAATTTTTTTAATCATTAAAATGACTGCCATTCAGCAATCTTGATTTGGATCATCAAACAATTACATGTTCATAAGTACAACATGATGTATGACATGGTTTAAACATGATGTCAGAGATACGGCCCTGAACAGCATTCATTAAATCAATGGCCACCATTTTTTGTTTGTTTTTCAGATCAGATTCAAAATGGCATGAATGTATTCACCAAATTTGAACGCAATCCATCCATACACGACTGAGATCTGGTTCTTAAATGGCCAAAATGTTTGATCTTGATGATTTATTTAGCAAAAAATGGCTATCTTGAATCGAATAATGCATTTGTCACCCAAGATATGTGATGTATTTGAACGTGATGAACCGAGCATGGCACACTATATTCAATTCTCTATTTAAGTGTGCTTTTAATATAGCAAATCCAGCAGTAATTTTCAATCCTAAGGAAGTGAAAAATTAAACAAGTTAAGCAATAAAATAATTTCAATCTTGGTCAGTATAGTTAAATATATTTGTCTTTACCTGTTACCTAAATCTTTGAATTGCTCCTTTTCTCCTTCCTTCTCCATTTCAAAAACATCAAGTACTTCCATTTTGTACTGATTATGAGTTATTGCATGTGTGTTCTGTACATAATCATTAATAAGCTGTAAAATCAAACACATCAATGTAAATGAATGTCAATGTAAATGAATGGAGTTCAATGTTCACTGAAATTTCAGGGACATTGTGCAGATTTAAAATGAACCATAAATGAAGTTTTCATTTATTTGAATAGTAAAATGGCATGATTTTTTTTAAATCAAGAAATTGGTTGTTTTCAAAACGTAGAACATGTGAAAAGTCACGTTTGAAACTGTCGCCTATGCTAATGAGCATTGTTGTAAGGACGATGCCTTACAACTCCAAGATGGCGTTAACGCCACATCGTAAATAGGCAGTCAAGACCAACGGTGTTACACTATTTCACATTTCTAGCCAGCGGTGTGATGTGTCTAATCACCGTAAACCATGTGACATTTGTTTGGTCCTACAATTTGTCTTCCATGTGCTTGCCGATCACCAAACTATGCAGCACGTCTCTGGTACATAATGTTTACACACTTGTTTATCATAGTTAGTGAGCAGTCGGCGAAATAACCATTTAAAACTTAATTTTTTTATAAGGCATACAGTAATCCTTACGCTGTGAATAAAGAAGTAATATGGGCATTGATCAACAATTGGTATTCACGCTTTTCAACCAACTAATCAGAATCATGCTCTTCGCAGAGTGACACTGTGACTCTTTCGCAGAGTGCAATAATCAACATTTAGCGAGTCGCAAAATCACACCGCAGAGTTAGATTTCAGATCCCCTTACATACCTAAAAAGACATGTAATTTTTCTGCCTAAATCAATACAAACAAATCCGATAATAGTTTTGCCATCGACAATAGTTGAATATTTGTGGTGAATTGTTTCAGTATCATACAGTACTTTAATTGGTTAATAACTTGGTTTTTGAGAACATTTGTGCTTGTTGTTCATTGTAGAAATGAATGCAGATACAACTTGTTTTGTACAACGTTTTACTTCGTCAAGACTTTTGCTGGGCAAAAATATCTTGATAAATTCTGAATTGGGTGAAAAGTCAGGATCTTTTGAGTTGAGGTCACTAGGCACTAAGTTGGTCAAAAACAAAACCAATATTTAGCTTGACTTTCCTGGAGAAAATATCAATGGTACAGATTTGCTTAGAAGGAACACTGGGCAAAACCACAGACTACATGATAAAGGTTGCTCTACTATGTGTTATCTGCCTTGTAGTAATACCACATACACTGATCCATACAAAAACATACCAGAATGGGATATTGCTGATATGTATATGCTTACCTTGAAGACAGAATCTTTCTTGTCTAATGGTTCCAAGTTACACTTCAGTGATTTATAATGTCTATCTACAGGGTTTTCTAATTCATTAGATTCTTTCTTTATTATGGTCATAGCAATCTGAATATCTCCTAAAGCCTGTAAATAAAAAAAACAAAACACGCTTTAATAAATTTGTAAATATATACAGATGAGGTTGAACATTTGATTTCTATGCGTAAAAATGAAGTGAAGTCATAGTCATGTCATAGTTACCAGCATCACATAAAACTTATTTGCATCACATAAAAGATATATGCACATAAACCACATAAAGTTTACCTGCGCCATATAAAAACATATATGCACTAGTAAAACTTATCTGCACATAAAACATATATGCCTATGAAACGAATCTGTGCTATATAAAACTTACCTAAACCATGTAAAAATATCTGCACAACCTTGAAATCATATATATAAGATTTACACTGTTCAACACTAAATTGTCATCTACAATTTTGGTGATACACTGCAAAATTTTCTATTGGGTACAGGTATTGATCAAAATAAAAACCTCACAAAATTGAATTCAAAGATTATGGGTTTTAACGGAATAAATTACCTCTATCAAATCAATCTCTCGCTGTAATTCCACTACTGTTCTTATAATTGGTGGCCTCTTCATTCTGGAAGGAGTAAAAATAAAGATATTTAGATTTCACAATTATTTATTGAAAAAGAATGTTAATATTCCAAACTGCATCCAACAATAAATTTAGATTGATTGAGAATTACTGTAAATTATGTGTAGTCTAGTATATAGAGTATATAGTACTAGTATATAGAAAGCCTCATATCCCATATTTATAATTTAACTTCCTGTAAATGTGGGATTCTTGGAAACTAAACCTGCAAATAAAGATGACATATTATGTCATCAATTACAATGGTAGTAGTAAGAGTTTGACCATTACATTTTCTGTATTAAATGTAACAATGTGAGTTTCAATCAATCAATTTATTTTGTTTTGGTCATTTATTCTGTAGGATTTTTCATTTTAGGAATTTTTCAAATTCTACCTCCTTCACTTCTCAGAGCTTTTAATGGTCAAACCCTTAAGCACCAAAAATTAAACATTACCATCAACAGAGACCAACACAAAAGTTTACATTTCAGAGATATAAAACCAACTAACCCGAAATCATGAGGAACCCGAGTATAGTACGCATCACAAGCTTGAATGAGTCGATTTCCAATTACATTATTGTTGATACAATACTCTATTTCTTTCAAAGCACTATAACCAGCATTAATTTGTTCTTCTGTTAGTTTACCAAGTGGTGCCTTCTTGGCGTCGTATTTCATTTCAATCACCATATCCTCCATGGCTTTGACATTGCATATTAGCTCAATCAGATCCTGCAATGTATAACACAAATACACCAAATCAACTAACACTGCAGCTTGGGGTGCACTTTAATACTTTGTACATCTCAGAGTGTTGGTATTGCTATAGAGATTTATCAATGACATTGCTTTTGATGAAAAGTCATTTTTGAATAATAAAAAAAGTTTAGTCACTTTCAGAAGATAAATTATTTAATATAAGCATTTAAGACTTTTCACAATAACAGCTCATTCTCAAAACATGATTCACCCATTCATGCTTGTCACAATTTTACATTGTATTCTTGAATAGGAGTCAGTAACAACAAAAAACATAATTTGGTCTCTAAATTGAGATAAAAATGTTCTAAAAATAACTTCCAAACAAGGATACTTTGATCTACAGTAAACTTTTTTTCTTTTGAATCCTAAATAAGCATTTTTTGCAACCAAAACATCAGCCTCTGGGCTGAGATAGCTCCGCTCTTAGCAATGCACATTTCAAATAAAGAACTGAAGATATCATTAGAAAATGAACAAATCTGAGAGCAATGCACATTTCAAATAAAGAACTGAAGATATCATTAGAAAATGAACAAATCTGAGAGCAGTCTACCTGAGGTACATATCAATCGAACTTGTAGTTTTTAACAAAAAGTCAAAAATATCACTTTTTACCACAAATTACAAAAATATTCATCAAAATTAGAGAATTAAAGATATCATCATGAAATGAACAAATCTAAGACAGGTCTGCCTAAGGTACATAATACACTAAGTATCAAAGAAATAAGAATTGTCGACTTCAAGAAGAAGTCGAAAAAGTTGACATGGATGATCACTCATATGATAAGCTTCGCTCGACAAAGTGTTATCAACAAAATATGGTAAGTTCTGCTGACAATACAACTTCAACTGTTAATTCTTTTAACACTTTTTGTAGCACTATTCACTAAATCATAACATAGACACCAGCTTACCTGCACACGTTTATCAAGTTTTGAATCAGGTACAGGAATGTCTTCTTTCTTTATTTTCTTCTTTGAATCAGTTTCAGTTTCGTTTGCATCCTGCAATAAGAAAATATGTTGCAATTAGGAAACATGTCATGCCTAACAAAGTAATATGGCCAAAATGCAAGATGGCTGCAAGTCTACCTACCTACATGAATAACATAAGCCATCAAATTGGATATTAAAATAACTGGTCATGTGACCAGGTAAATTGTTTCTGAATGAATTTTTAGTGTATGGTCAGTAATTGAAAGTGAATAATATACTAATCTAGTATCAACAAAAATAAGATTTATTAATTTACTTCTAAATTTGTAATCTAATATATGTTCACAAAATTTATACTTCTACATGTATTTGCTATTTATAATAATGACACTTTATAATTCTTTAATAAATATCTTTAATCAAATCACAAAATGAACATCTATCAAAAATTCACTTTTCACCAAAAATGAAAAAAACAATCATCTAAATTAGATAATTGAAGATATAAACAACGAAAGTAACAAATCTGAAAGAGGTCGACATGTAGTACCTATATATATAATATAAAAGCAATTGGACTTGCGGTTTTCAACAAGTCGAAAATATCATTTTTACCAAAAATGACAAAAATATTCACCAAAATTAGAGAATTGAAGATATCATCATGAAATCCAAATCTAGGAGAGGTCTACCCAAGGTACATATACACTAAGTATCAAAGCATTCAGGCTTGTAATTTTCAAGAAGAAGTTGAAAAAGTAAAACATTGACATGGACGAAGGTCATCGGACAACTCATATGATAAGCTCCGCTCGACAAAGTCGACAGCGGAGCTAAAAAAACAAGATGGCTGGCTAACAGACATGTAATCCAACATGTAAGATGTATGTGCCAAATATCAATAATAAATGGTCCGTAAGTCTTGGAGATATAAGTATAGCCAAAAAGCAAGATCGCCGCCATCCATCCGATTGTAAAACAAATTGTCATGAACATGTATCCTAACATGTATAATGTATGTGCCAAATTTGAAAATGAAAAGTCCAGGATTCTACATTTTCAACAACAAAAATGGCTACCAGTTGGCCATCTTTGATTTAAATCACTAGGCACATGCAAATAATGAACAGATTCCGTCTAGAGGGTTCTGAAAGATGACTGATAGAGAACAGTGTAAAGAAATGAGATATGCTAATGTTGTGACAAGTTTAAAGAGCACAACTCACCACAGAATGATGTGAAACAACCGACCAAACTTGAAATGTCGATGATTTTGTACTAATTTAGTTCAAAGCAGACCAATCTAAACATGTAGCTAACAAGTTACACTTTAATACAGTCAATAATCAGTGAACATAATGCTGAAATATGACCTGCAAGGCTTGTTCACATAATGTAGTATGTCTTGTTCCCATTCTCACCTTAGCACTGTAGTCCATTTCCAACATATCATATTTTCCTTGCACTTTCACAAACTTCTTTCTATTATACCAGTCATTTAAAGTCTTATCCCGAAATTTCTTCATAAATATCTTCTTTGCTTCGTCCAGATTAGAACCACAAGGAAATAAACTCGTCTGGCCATGTTTACCAACTTTAAAAAAGACAGCATTTTATTCTTTCATTCTATAGAAGCGCAGCTCAAACAGTTAATTGTGTTCAAAGTCACATTCAATCAATGAAAGAGTAAACAAATGTAATATAAACTGAGCCCAAAAAGAGATGTTCTTCATCTCTTGCTAGCTATTGTAACACTGCCCTCTAGTGTTTGTAAACAACAAATTTTTGGACATGTAGCATCTGCAGCTATCGAACACCCGTCGCATTTACTGATTTACTGGAGTTATCAATCTAATACTTGAATATTGTCACATCTAGTGCAGCTATCAATTGAACATCTGTTGCATCTACTGCAGCTATCAATTGAACATCAGTTGCATCTACAAACATACTGCAGCTATCAATTGAACATCTGTTGCATCTACTGCAGCTATCAATTGAACATCTGCTGCATCTACAAATATACTGCAGGTATCAATTGAATATCTGTTGCATCTACTGCAGCTATCAATTGAACATCTGTTGCATCTACTGCAGCTATCAATTGAACATCTGTTGCATCTATTGCAGCTATCAATTGAACATCTGCTGCATCTACAAATATACTGCAGGTATCAATTGAACATCTGTCGCATCTACTGCAGCTATCAATTGAACATCTGACGCTTCTACAAATATACTGCAGCTATCAATTGAACATCTGTTGCATCTTTTGTGCTATCAATTGAACACATTGCATTTACTGCAGCTATCAATTGAACATCTGTCGCATCTACAAATGTACTGCAGCTATCAATTGAACATCTGTCGCTTCTACAAATATACTGCAGCTATCAATTGAACATCTGATGCATCTTTTGTGCTATTAATTGAACACATTGCATTTACTGCAGCTATCAGTTGAACATAAATTGCATTTACTGCTTCTATCAATTGAACATCTGTTGCATCTACAAATGTACTGCAGCTATCAATTGAACATCTGTCGCATCTACAAATGTACTGCAGCTATCAATTGAACATCTGATGCATCTTTTGTGCTATTAATTGAACACATTGCATTTACTGCAGCTATCAGTTGAACATAAATTGTATCTGTCACATCTACTGCAGCTATCAATCCAACATGTTGCATCTACTGCAGCTATCAATTGAACATATGTTGCATCTACTGCAGCTATCAATTGACCATCTGTCGCATCTACAAATATACTGCAGCTATCAGTTGAACATCTGTCGCATCTACTGCAGCTATTAATTGAACATCTGTTGCATCTACAAATGTACTGCAGCTATCAATTGAACATCTGTCGCATCTACTGCAGCTATCAATTGAACATCTGTTGCATCTACTGCAGCCATTAATTGACCATCTGTTGCATCTACAAATGTACTGCAGCTATCAATTGAACATCTGTCGCATCTACTGCAGCTATCAATTGAACATCTGTTGCATCTACTGCAGCTATTAATTGAACATCTGTTGCATCTACAAATGTACTGCAGCTATCAATTGAACATCTGTCGCATCTACTGCAGCTATTAATTGAACATCTGTTGCATCTACAAATGTACTGCAGCTATCAATTGAACATCTGTCGCATCTACTGCAGCTATCAATTGAACATCTGTTGCATCTACTGCAGCCATTAATTGACCATCTGTTGCATCTACAAATATACTGCAGCTATCAATTGAACATCTGTCGCATCTACTGCAGCTATTAATTGACCATCTGTTGCATCTACAAATATACTGCAGCTATCAATTGAATATCTGTTGCATCTACTGCAGCTATCAATTGAACATCTGTCGCATCTACTGCAGCTATCAATTGAACATCTGTCGCATCTACTGCAGCTATTAATTGACCATCTGTTGCATCTACAAATATACTGCAGCTATCAATTGAATATCTGTTGCATTTACTGCAGCTATTAATTGACCATCTGTTGCATCTACAAATATACTGCAGCTATCAATTGAATATCTGTTGCATCTACTGCAGCTATTAATTGACCATCTGTTGCATCTACTGCAGCTATTAATTGACCATCTGTTGCATCTACAAATATACTGCAGCTATCAATTGAATATCTGTTGCATCTACTGCAGCTATTAATTGAACATCTGTTGCATCTACTGCAGCTATTAATTGACCATCTGTTGCATCTACAAATATACTGCAGCTATCAATTGAATATCTGTTGCATCTACTGCAGCTATTAATTGACCATCTGTTGCATCTACAAATATACTGCAGCCATCAATTGAACATCTGTTGCATCTACTGCAGCTATTAATTGAACATCTGTTGCATCTACAAATGTACTGCAGCTATCAATTGAACATCTGTCGCATCTACTGCAGCTATTAATTGAACATCTGTTGCATCTACAAATGTACTGCAGCTATCAATTGAACATCTG